TGATTCTATGATCTATTAAAAACGTTCATAGACTGTGCAAACTGATCTAAAGACACCAGTCCTGCTGCACCAAGCTCAATATTCATTTTCCAGATACTGCACCTGATGAAAACAGCCATGTTTGATAGAAATGGATACACCAAGCACTATCAGCACAACTGAAATACAAACCTGTGAGTTCAAAGCAGGGAAGGGAGAAATCCACCTCCAGTCACAAACCCCTGCATGCCCTGGTGACACCTAAAATCATGAGGATACTACTTACTGTTTCAGATTTAGCAGCAAAAGGAAGTAATTTCCAGCTCTACACCTTCAAGGTGTTTTTCTCCTCCTGTAATTCCTGATTGGGGCCCCCAAAGACATCTGGCCCAGCTTTACAGCCTGAAGAAAGCAATACACCAGAGGGGTCTCCTTCATTAGACACTGCAATTACATTATTCATCCCCCAGGCACAGAAGAACAAATAAGCAATGACTTGCTGATAGTGCTGTATGGATCATCCATCAGGAAGGTCTTTTCCCTGCTTGTTTCACCTCCAAAATAGGTATAGTAAAAAATAAAATAAAATACATAAATAAAAAGAGGTCCTTTGAGCATACTGCATTTTAAAAGGCTCTGGTTACCTTAACATGGACTATATAACTCCTTACTATATTTTACTATTACTATTTTTTTTCCTAATTAAACTATAGCAACCGCCAACAGTAGAAAAGCAGCTCACTGCTTTAAGCTGAATTTATGAAAGACTCCAATACGAAGATGAAAAATTTCCTCCTGTGAACTGCAAATGCCCCTTTTCTTTTCCCAGGGAGTCATCTGTTTAAAGCCAGACTGCAACCTTTGCTAAATAAACAGTTGTTTCATTTACTACCACATATCCACTTGGCTAATGGAGTTAATGCTGCCCTACTGAATCTTCCGACATATTCTTTATTTTAGAAATTGTATCGTATTTCCTAATAAAAGTCAAGAACAATATTAACAAAACAGTGATCTATATTGGCTTTTAGTGACTTACAAGATGTACTGACTTGATGCAGAGAGATGCCACATGATAGAGAAAAATCCCATTAAAATACTTTTATTTTGAGGTATTCTTTGAGCCACTTCTTGGCATTTGCACCTCAACTCATTCACAGCTGTATTTTCAATTGGAGGAATAGAGCGTTAATAAGAAGACAGATGATGATACTGAACATGCTGGCAAAGTCACATAAGGACTATGCAACCAATACATGACAGTCACTGGCAAAGATTCAAGCAGCTCCCACAGTCTACAGCTCAAAGAAATAAAGAATGAAGTAGAACTTCATTAATCAAAAAGGGAAAGCATTTTTTCAGAATAAAGCCACTAAAACCAGCAGAAAAAAAATAATATAATCTTTCCCATTTATTTTCCACTTTACAGGAATGCAGAAAAATGCAACATAGTAGGTTCACTTCTCCTTTCCCATTACTACCACATAGCGTTAAGACAGTCAGAAATGCATTTGGGGGAAAAAATCAACACAAAACAACAAAAAGCCCAACACACTAGAACCACATCAGCTCCAAACATTTAATTTATTTATATATTATATATTATTTATTTATTTTAATTTAATTGTTTTCCTCAAACCAAGAACATCTACCAGAGCCTCACAAATTCTATTAATTAACATAATGTCTAAATTAATTACCACTAAACTAGAAATCTGGGAAAGATCAGAGTTTGTAATTGTAGCCACTTGTATTACCAGATTCTCATCAAGAAAACCAAAGAACAACAAGTGATCTTCTGCAAGTCACCAACGTTTTTGTCACATGCTAGGAATCTGTCACTATTCTACCAGTTTGATACCTGATGATTTCATCTGTATTCCTATTCAAGGCCTCCATCCATACCACTCTCCACCCAAACCAGGAAAATAGTCACCAAATTCACCCTGGAGATTTATTTAGGGGAACAGACACAGGGTTCTTCTTGTCCTTCACAAAACAGTTATGTGAGCACCTTCAGCAGCTGAAGAAACAGAGAAAGTTTCCTTCATAGTTCTCACAGCTTCTCCCACGATGGTTAAGGATTTTAGCATAAGGAATTACTAACAGCAAACTCCTAAATAAGCACAGATTTAAACTCTCAGATGATTACTCCACTATCATTGTGAATTCAGCATCTAGGAGTATGGTCCTACTTGTGGGCTTTCACAAGCACATGATCTGCAGCAGATACGCTACTCGAAACCAAATTTTAAAAGCTCCATTTTCTTTGCATAAGTCAGCCAAACTTTTGATAAAGGTTAAGAATTAAATTGAAAAGAAAAAAAGCAACAACAACAAAGTTAAAATATTCAAACAACTTCAGCAAGACCCAGATAACACTTGGTTGCTTGAGATGTTACAATTACTGCATTTTAAGCCTGCAGTGAGAATGACTGTGGCCAGTACCGTAATTGAACATTTCTAACAACAGTGTAAGCCTACAGCCATGGGGTATTTAGAACCTCAATATTTCCAGCAAGCACAACAGCAGATGGGAAAGTTGCACATGCAATGCACTCCTATCCTAATGAGGCTTAGAGAAGAAAAATTTAACTTGCTTGCTCTCAGACACAGGAGGTAGAAAAAGTCTTGAACAAAAATAGCAGGGGTATAAATCTGACTTTCAAGGTCAAATGTTTGATTTGCTAGCAACGAAGTAAAACAAGGCAACTAGAGAGGGAAGAAGGAAAAAAAAAAAAATGACTACTAGCTGTCTATGGCAAGCAAATGAAATCTAGGTCTCCGCAAACACCCTGTGTCCTGCTTAATGTTTCCCAAGTTCAGAGCATGACACTCTCCTTTCTGAAATGGTTTTAGCTGAAACACTGGCCTAGACATCACATCAAACATTCATCTTTACTGCTCAAACTTTATCTTTCAAGGATGCATTTGGGGGAAAAAATCAACACAAAACAACAAAAAGCCCAACACACTAGAACCACATCAGCTCCAAACATTTATTTATATATTATATATTATTTATTTTAATTTAATTGTTTTCCTCAAACCAAGAACATCTACCAGAGCCTCACAAATTCTATTAATTAACATAATGTCTAAATTAATTACCACTAAACTAGAAATCTGGGAAAGATCAGAGTTTGTAATTGTAGCCACTTGTATTACCAGATTCTCATCAAGAAAACCAAAGAACAACAAGTGATCTTCTGCAAGTCACCAACGTTTTTGTCACATGCTAGGAATCTGTCACTATTCTACCAGTTTGATACCTGATGATTTCATCTGTATTCCTATTCAAGGCCTCCATCCATACCACTCTCCACCCAAACCAGGAAAATAGTCACCAAATTCACCCTGGAGATTTATTTAGGGGAACAGACACAGGGTTCTTCTTGTCCTTCACAAAACAGTTATGTGAGCACCTTCAGCAGCTGAAGAAACAGAGAAAGTTTCCTTCATAGTTCTCACAGCTTCTCCCACGATGGTTAAGGATTTTAGCATAAGGAATTACTAACAGCAAACTCCTAAATAAGCACAGATTTAAACTCTCAGATGATTACTCCACTATCATTGTGAATTCAGCATCTAGGAGTATGGTCCTACTTGTGGGCTTTCACAAGCACATGATCTGCAGCAGATACGCTACTCGAAACCAAATTTTAAAAGCTCCATTTTCTTTGCATAAGTCAGCCAAACTTTTGATAAAGGTTAAGAATTAAATTGAAAAGAAAAAAAGCAACAACAACAAAGTTAAAATATTCAAACAACTTCAGCAAGACCCAGATAACACTTGGTTGCTTGAGATGTTACAATTACTGCATTTTAAGCCTGCAGTGAGAATGACTGATATACAACCAGTGGCCAGTACCGTAACTGAACATTTCTAACAACAGTGTAAGCCTACAACCATGGGGTATTTAGAACCTCAATATTTCCAGCACGCATTTTAAGCCTGCAGTGAGAATGACTGTGGCCAGTACCGTAATTGAACATTTCTAACAACAGTGTAAGCCTACAGCCATGGGGTATTTAGAACCTCAATATTTCCAGCAAGCACAACAGCAGATGGGAAAGTTGCACATGCAATGCACTCCTATCCTAATGAGGCTTAGAGAAGAAAAATTTAACTTGCTTGCTCTCAGACACAGGAGGTAGAAAAAGTCTTGAACAAAAATAGCAGGGGTATAAATCTGACTTTCAAGGTCAAATGTTTGATTTGCTAGCAACGAAGTAAAACAAGGCAACTAGAGAGGGAAGAAGGAAAAAAAAAAAAATGACTACTAGCTGTCTATGGCAAGCAAATGAAATCTAGGTCTCCGCAAACACCCTGTGTCCTGCTTAATGTTTCCCAAGTTCAGAGCATGACACTCTCCTTTCTGAAATGGTTTTAGCTGAAACACTGGCCTAGACATCACATCAAACATTCATCTTTACTGCTCAAACTTTATCTTTCAAGGGAAGGCACAGTCATGAAGAGACAAAAACATCTGGGCTTGTGAAGGCTAGACCACAGCAAGAACCTCAGACAGTACAGTCTCACTGCAAGCATATTTGACTCTCATGTCCTCTAGGCTAACGATCTTCTACGAAGCAGTACTTAGGCTCCACAGCCAGATGATCTTCTGAACACTCAGTTCAGAAAGTTTACCCAGACTAACCTATGAGATGCATAAGGACAGATTTCCAGCTTCCCTGAAAACTGAGATTTGCGTGTGGGACAAAGAGTTAAGGGGAAAACCAAGATAAGGACAAACAGTCAATTCAAATAACATACAGAAGCTGCAACAAGTCATTGCCCTTCACATGGCACGATTAACAAAGGAGCAATTCTAAGAAGCTGTTTAACATGCAAATATAAGTCAATGAGTACTAGTTTCAAGCAGCATGAAATCTTAATATGGAGATTATTATTCAGAGCTGTTTAATTCTGACTAATAAGGAAAAAGGTATTTTGTATTTTTATGTTTCAAAGTATGTAACTTTAGTCCCTTCTTACCCCAACCTGAAACATCACCTACTAGGAATGGCTGGGCCTGGAGCTGCCATTGTTTCTTTGGGTTCTTTCTGGGCTCTGTCTTTTCCTGGGTCTGCAGCAAGGTGAGATGGGATGGACAGCGGAAGCACAATAGCCACAGTTTTTCTCTCTCTCCTTCCTGTTCAACAAGGAAAGCTATCCCTCAGTTGGAGAGACATCACACATCTTGACATCTTATTACACATTATCAGTTCAGAGCAAGATAAAGTTTGCAGCACAGTGAATGCAAAGTACTAAATATGAAAGCAATAAACTTACAGCTCTCTTGGACATTTCTGAGCCTCCCTTCTCAAATATATGAGCTTTCTTCACATTGCTTCAATAAAGAAATTCAATCTTGTCACAATGGAAGGCTTTACAAAAGATCAAATTTTACTGTCTTACTCCTAACCAATCCAAGCTTGAGCTGCGATATATAAGCAGACCAAAGACCAGTGCTTTTAAAACAGACCCAGTCCGCCCGTTGGCTTACATTAGCTTGGCTCCCACCCTCCATATTAACAGAACTCCAAGAGACACAGAGCAGTTGAACTATTTTTCATAACTAGGTTTACTGCCCTATTGGTAGTATCATAACACAACATTTACGATTAACTCCATAGATACCCTGCACTGGAACCTATCCACAGGGTTAACTGTTTTCACATCAGTTAGAAATCAAAATAGTATTAGGAAAAAAAAAATCCATAGTACTTAATATTTAAAAGTTTTACTCCAGGACAAATTCTGGTCTTAGCTGTACCAACATCAATCCAGCATAACTCCAGTGTAGGTATGCTGGTGCAGAAGTCCTCAGCTGTAATCAAAATATTTCCCTGAATTTTACTCACAGGTCTTGTATCTCAAACCTATGCAACTTCCTCCCTACTTTTGCAGACTAAAGAAACCATCACCTAATACAGGAGGCAGGCAATAATACGCTTCAGTTATGACTGATATTAATTAGTAGAAGGGAGTTAATAGAGGGTCTCTTCCCCCCAGAAACACAACATATTCACTCTGCACTCAGCACTCTAGAGATACTCCCACATCAGACCATGCACCCGCAACAGATCCATTTCCAGATATTCAAGTTTTAGAGAAGATGCAGGGAGAGCAGAAAGCATTTGGGGTGTTGTAAACAAAGCAAGTTACTACCACTAGCTCAGGGGTTAGTAAATCAGAAATCCGTGTTCAGGCTTTGCTGTTAGTGTCAGGCAGCAGGCTCTCTTTCAAACTGGGCAGGCAGAAGACAGGTGCTATGTTGGAAGGCAGCATGTTCCCCCTACCAACCTAAGAGGAAGGGCTAGTAAGCAAGATAAAATACAAAACCTTCACTTGGATTACTTTTTCTTTTCTGTAAGACAGTAGATACCCTCATCTTTTAAGTGTTATGGGGTTCTAAGTTATAAGAGTAATTCTTAGCCTTTCCCTTGCACTTCATGTACCAGTACACATACACTGTAAAAGGAATTTCATCAAGTATTGCGCTCACTATGGTGTGCCTTGGCTACAGCTCGCATATTACACATAGCCAAATGGATGGTTACTGATTTCATGAAGAGCCCCCAACACAAAAGAATTTTTGATTTCTGGTCCAGTTTAATTGAAGGTCATGCTCAGGTTCCAAAGAAAATTAGATCGTGCAGGATTCGCCCTGGGGTTCAATAACACTGGTCAATCTCCACCCAAAACAAAAAAGTTCCAGACCTATTTGTTTAGCTACGAGTCTTTCGCCTTCTCCTTCCTGGAAGCATTCCTGATGTCTTTCCCCAAATAACTCAACTGTTTGTTTAGCTGAGAAACTCTCCTAGTACCATGGAACAGTTTTTCTTCAGCTGGTGGGTGACATCATCTTAATGCCTTTCACATGAGAAAAGAAGCACAAACCACATCACTAACACATGTAACGTGTCCAGGTCATCTGCCTTGCTGGGTAATGGAAGGGGTCCCACATTTTAATCCTCATGTCGCAGTAAGACCCCTAATATTTCCACTACGCTTAGGAAAGGACCTATTTACCCACTTTGGCTAGGTGGTTGATTCCCACAAAAGTCTGACTCGGTGACCTGCCTCCCAACATGGCTACCATGTCCTATTAAGTAGAAGCCTTGTCATGAGGTGGGAGATAGAGAAGAAGGCAATGTTGTACCTGAGCCTATTGTATGTCCAACGGAGTCAAAGGAAAGAACCACTGAATCTGTAACACAAGAGTACAAGTTCATTTTCCCCTTTTTCTTAGCACCATTTCTTGCTGTAATATTTTCTTGTTATTTTGCTTAAAGAACTCCTTATGCTCCCTTCCGCTAGGAAGCGGAACCTTCTTCACCAGCCAGACAAAACAACAGGCATCTAGCAAAGGCAGAACGCAGGAGTAGGCAACAAATCACAATGTCATTACCCAATGAAGTAGCTACAGTTTATTGAAAATAATTTCATTTTATGGCTAACAAGCTTGGTCACCTTACCAAAACTGAATCACAATATGCTTTTGACTCCTACACTGGAGAAATTTTTCTTATCAAATATATTATCAATATTTTGTCCCCACTTTGGGGACTCACCTGTTATGATCAGCTCTTGCCTGACACTGTTTGCTAAGCCAAATATTTTGTGCTCCTTGCAGTTCTCACCGCGTTTTCCACATCTTCACTCACAACTGGTGACCCCCCAGCTGAATGCATTTCAATTTATCAATACCCTTCACCTTTGCACAGTATGCAGCACAGGTGCCAACTATCAAGAAAATGCAACGTCTCTACTTAATACCCTTGTATTTTGTCATCTGGGGACCACAATAATGTTTATCCATGATCGGAACGACAACTCTTGCTCACCAGTTAATGCCCCATACTTTTAAGTTGCTGTTTCAGATGATGAGGCACACTTTGCTTCAATTATGGTTTACAATTCCTAGTTTTCATACATGCAGCTTGACACTTGGCCACATAGAAGCCCTTACTGCCTGCTTGCACTTATCTCACCCCATGAACTGGACCCCTTTATTAGTCATTTGTTTTCCTCATACACCACTCCCCCAGCCTAGAACCTGTTTGCAAAATTTATCAGTAATAATTTGATATTCTGTTCCAAGTGGAGCTGCAATATGGTACCATACTCAATGATGGGTTTTTTTATCCCAGCTTTATTCTTACTTAACCAACACTTATTTGGGGAGCAAGTCTCCTGGTTTGCCATCCATTTTGATGCCAATCCCAACTGAAGGAGAAAGTCTACTGAATTCTACTCCACCACCAGTAGAGCAGAATTGGGCCCAGAACTTAAAAACAACTTGTCAATGGGTAAAACGCAGCAAAGAACAAACCACCATGATAGGATCAATAACTTTATGGAATGAGAAGCTTTAAACTAACACAGCAATAGCAGAACTGCCTTTCATCTTCAGCTAGATTAACAGACTGAATCCCTTTAAGTTTCTCTTTGTAACTTAGGCCTCAGATGTGATCGACTGATCACACATCCTTTGCAGCACCGCAGCAGCTGCCTCGGTGCAAGGCAAAAAGCCCAAGCCCAATCCGATTTAGCATGCTGAAAAGAGGTTAAGCTCTCGCTGCATCACCTGACATTTGGGCAGGCTACAACTGCAGACATTGACAGTTACCACGTTTCAGCTGACAGTAACTTGACAAAGGACCAAGCCCTTGGCTTTTCCATACTCTACATCATTCTCATGCTTATTTTCCAATTCTTACAAATTCAGTAAGAAAGTGCTAATTTTCAAAATAAACATAATAAAGCTGTTCATTTAACTGGATTTAAAACAATTTTTAAAAGCAGGTCTGTGCTGTCCCAGATTCAACACTATGGTAGTAACAGGGGGGGAAAAAAAAAAAAAAAAAAAAAAATTACTAGTCTCAAAACTTATTCCAATAAAAATAAAAATCCATCTGGACTTAACAACTGTATTTCCTCTTTTGGGAATAAAATTCAGACGTCTCTGTATTATTCTAAATAGCAAGGGGTTTAATTCACTTTAACCACGTTAATTCATCTGCCATCAATTAATCCTGAAGTATCTCTGTGGGGTTCCACTTTTAAAAATCTGTTGAGATTTTTATCAACATAAAGTATTGCTTTGTAGTTAATGCCAAATTCAAATGTTGTTCATTTTCCTGCAATATATTCTGTATTCAAACACTGCACATGAAATATTAGGACTTGTCTAAGAATGGCTGAAAAGCACTGCAAGCACCAAATTGATACCATTATCGCAGCCCACAAAACCAGCATAACGTTTCATTCCCTGAACTGAGAACATTATCTCCTCATATAAACAAAAAAAAAAATTACAAGCAGAGTAAGCATGTGAGCTCCCTTTTCCAATCCAGTCCTCCATGTGACTGTTAGTTTCACAGTTTCAACATCAAATTCACTGTGAATAACCCATATTACAGTCAATTCCCCCTTTGCCCCTGCAAGTCATTTCACAAATCATGGATCTTTATTAAAACACTGTGTTTATTTCTGGCATTAATACATCAAAAGGGAAGAAGCTATAAACTTGAAAAAGGCTGAGAAGATAATCATGTGTCACCTTTCTTCCACCCAGACAGCTATTCGCATTCAGCCAAATTCAGAGCTGCAGGTTGTTTCTGTCAGAAGTTGATGGAGATAAGCATTTCTTTGAGGCAAGCCAGATTTATTTGCAAATACACAGAGTCCTGCTTCCATGAACATAAGAAGAAAAGTTTCTTTGCTTCTAACTTCAAATCTCTTCCAGTCATCGCTCAGTTCAAAATCCTCCCAGCTTTCTGGACTTTTTTTTTAGAGAAACAAACTGGCTGCTCAGCCCATGCCCGGTGCCTCCCCCTGAGCCCGCTCTATCTTTCAAAGGCAATCTTCAAAGGCTCTATCTTCCCAAACTTAATAGGACACAATGTAAAACATACGCACTTACATGCGCCCTTGCTTTAGGTGCCAAGAAGTGTTTATGTGTGAAGGAGCAGTCCCTAACCTTTCAGCTACCTACTTCCATAAAGCAGCTTAAATGTTTTCTCTCCTGCCTTAACTGAAGAGCAGCCTTTATGCCCAAATCATGAAATCTGACACACAATAACTTGCCAATATGCACAGCTTCAGGCTGCGCGCACCACAATGCCAGCCTTTTACATCTGTTTTCCTGTTAGCTACAATCATTTTTTTCAGTGGCTACAGCAGTTAAAAGAAAAAAACCCCAAGATACAGCAAAATCCAAATGCAGTTCTGGATTTGATCCAATCCATCAGAAGAAGCAAAGGCAGCAGAAACACTCACTTATTTAGAAGGCACTCAGTGCCAGGAATAACAACGGCTGAGACCTCACCAGCCAGACTACAAGGTTGCTTTGGGTCACTTTGTGTCAACTTTGCGTCAAAGCTACATTGGGACCTATGCTCTGGGTGACTTTCCCCTCCCACCCACCATCCAGCTAGAAGATCAAAAGTTGGACCAACACAAGAATCTGGTCCATCATCCCCCAAAAGCCAGTGCTGTGCAGGGCTATCTGAATGTGCTCCATCACAGCCCTTTTGGAGTGTGGAGGAGTGCTGTACGAGACCCCTCTTCTAGGAGACCACACTGGTATGGACCAAACTCAAGGATCCCATTTGGTTCAGGAACGAGTAGCTCCAAGACGGACTGTGCAAAGAGACTCAATGCTGCTCTGGGAACAAATTTGTACTCTGTTCCAATGATGCTCTACACTGGACATAGAGCTGAACTTGCCTTTGAAAGAACACAACTGGATTTGCACAGTTCTGTCCTGAAGTAAAAAAAATCCTGCAAATCTGAGGTGGCTACATCTGTTGCTGCACTTACACCACAGTCCTGATAAGCCACCCAGGTATGAGGATTGGCTGTATTTCAAGGTAAGGGATGCACTTCCAGAGTAACTGACAATCTCTTCACACGCAGACACCCCTTTCCACTCCCGCGTCCCTGTCTTAGGTCTCCTGCAAATCCTTCCTCCTGGTTGCTTTGTTAACCCTGAGCTTTCTCAGGGCCTGGACATCTCTGCAACACACTCCCCTGTCCCCAACACAGGCAAACTAAGTTACTCATTTTGCTGCATTGATTGTGCACCATAGGTCTCGGCATTTCTGGACACCAAATAACTATTTAACTACTATTCCTTACAGATTGCTGTATCTTTTCCACTACTCTAGTCTCTGAACAGAAAAATAAATGAAGATTTGGGTCTTCATAAAGGAGCGATGATCCTGACCAACAAACTGCAGATTTGTAGGAGACAGAGAGAAACAAGGCCTTAAAATGTTGGAAAACATCTTAAGTTTCATACTCCAAGAAAGAGATATGGACACCATAGGATAAACAGTGAATATCATGCATGGGTACTGCACTTGAGAGATGTGTGGAAACAGCTCTTAAAGTCCAATTGTGTCAAGTTCCTGAAATCATGTAGGAGCAAATACATGGACCAATTTCCAATGCAAATACTGTCCTTGCTCTGATTTAATCATTGATGAAAATGCAATATACAAACTGAAAACAAGCAGTGGTAACGCATAATGAGAACAGCAAATACAATCCACACTTAATCAAGAACTGTATATAACCTGTATGTTTACCTAAATGCTGTTTCAGAATTTCAGTTAAGACTTTTACAGTATGTCCCTCTGAGAAGCCACTAACTTTTTTTGCTTTTTTACAGGTTCTCCCTGCAAGGATTTGTAGGTATTTGTCTCATCCTATTGGAAACCAAAGAAGCTGAACCAGTAACTTCTCTTATCCTTTTTCTGCTTTTCTTTTTAAAAAAAAAAAAACAAAAACAACAAAAAACCCCCACAAAACCAGACTTTTGCAATAAACCAACTTCCCCAGAAAAAAAAAAAAATCAGTAAAAAAAATGATTGCATGCTGCTTTGGAAGCGGTCCTGAGAAACCACAAACCATCAGTCCCACAGGAGTTATAAGAGTTTAATAATAAAGGCTTAACACAGCCTCGATAGCACATACCAGTACAGTAATACGCTCCACAGACCAAGCCAAACAGGGACTACAATAATACATCGCAACATAAGGCTGTAATTTGGCACATCCTCATACAGAGACTCAAGCTCTGAGGTCTGCATTGCTCTCTTGTATGCATAATCACTGTTAAGTTTCTCACTCCATATTCCTGCTCTCCAGATACTCCAATGGACTCCTACAGAACTGCAACCTATATTTAATAACATTTAA